TCTTCTCATAGCAAATCTCTCTAACAAGAGCAAGTTAAGCTGTGATTTTTCTGATGAGTCTGGTTGTTCCAATACCATATCCTGAACAACTAAGTAAATGAGTAATTGGCCTTGCTATTTGTCTACTCAGAGTTATGTCTATTTGTGTATTGAAAAAAGTCCTTAAAATTTTCAGGACAGGTGATCATGTAAGAGTTTGTGGGACCAAAATATGAATCTATTAATTGGTTATGTTTAAATCAGAAACATCTTCAGTTTTATTTTAATTAAAAGAATTTCAGTGCAACTGGTTTCCTTAGGGAAAAGTAACTTACGGAATATTTTGTGTTACCTCAAAGAGAAAGGTCAATTTTATTAAAGTTTATTATTTAATTTGGGAATAATATATATTTGTAGAGCGTGCCCTATAGTACACACGTTTTACTACATATAACTTAATTGACAGGTATGGTTTTGAACTTGATTACTTAGAGTACTTACATATCCCAGGACTTTTTTTTTTTTAACCACAATTGAAGTTAACTTGGTAACTTTTAAGTAAATGCATTTGTGTGTTAGAAGTTAACTTCTGGGGCAGCTAGATGGCGCAGTGGATAGAGCCCCAGCTCTAAAGTCAGGAGGACCCAAGTTCAAATTTGACCTTAGACCAAACACCTGACACTTACTAGCTGTGTGACCCTCAGCAAGTCACTTACCCCCAACTTCCCCCCCCAAAAGTTATCTTCTTATAAAAAGTGCTCTGTAACCTACATTTTTATATAAGGATTAGATCCTTATCAGTCTCTACTCCTCCTGAGAGGGGAAATGAATAGGAATTGAATTGGAATTAATTGAAATTAAGTGGTATTTAAAATTTGGAGTTCTAAATAACTGCAAATAAATAAATTTTGAGAAAAAAATTTATTTTAAAAAGGCTTTCAGAAATTTTAACGGTTTTGAGAATTCTACCTTCTGTGGTAATTTTAAAAATATTTAGCTTTTGATTTTTTAGTTTGTATTTGAATTTCTTAAATAAATCAGTAGAACAGTTTGCTAACTTACATTGTAGGAAGTTAAATGAGAATGAAGGCAATGCTCATCTAGACAAGCACCCTTACCTTTGGCTTATATGTCTACTCTGGTAAATTTTAAATCTTGAACCAGAAGGACTTGTTTACAGGTCTGATTCTGATTCTTTTTTAAAGATTCTTCCTTTAGCTTGTTGTTAGCAATGTTTATGTCAGGTACAGAGTTTAGATAAAGATAAAAACAGCAAAGGGGTATTTAAAACTAAAATTCTCTTTAGTTTCAAGTGAACTATGGGTTTCTAATTTAATGTTATCATAACCATGAAGTTTGAGCTGGTTTTAACTAATTGTTGAAGAAGTAATGTTTAAGAGGTTGTATTAAAGTGTATTGAGATTTGTTTTGTCAAACTCTAGCAAGAACATCAAGAATCCACAAGTGACAGGGAACCAAAAAGCAAATCTACTAAAGATTCCAGAAGGTGCAAGAGAAGTTATTTCCAGAAGACCAGATGGCTAAAAAGGACACCTATGATTCAACATGAAATGTACTGATAAAATGGATGTTGGGGGTAGGTCACTGCCAACCTATAAACTCTTGGTTGAAAGATGTGACTTTTGGCATTCTCAGCTCAGAGGTTTTTTTTCCCCCAGCATGGATGAGTTTAATTCTTTGGCCTTAAGGATGTTATCCAGCCCCTCTTTTTTAATAATTAATTTATTTTTAGTTTTCAACATTTACTTCCATAAGATTTTGAGTTTTAAGTTTTCTCCCCACTCCTCCACCCCCAAGACTTTGTGCAATCTGATATAGGCTCTACTTATACATTCATATTAAGCCTATTTTCCCATTAGTCATGATGTAAAAGAACAAGTAGAACTAATGCAGCCCCTCTTTTCCGGGGACATCTCACTTGGCTGCATATACTATTCTTACCTGAAATCAAATGAAACTGATGTATGTATGCATCATATATGTATGAGTTTACCTTATATGTACCTTGCTCCTCTTTTTGGGAATCACATATTGCCTACATGCCATTTCTCATATTGGGCCATGTTACTAACATTATTATGGTTTAGGAGCTACCATGGTTCAGCAGCACCTGGAACTGACTCAAAACTTCACTGGTCTATGGAAGACTCTTGGTCCACCTTGACCAACAGTGGGGAATGTCAATTACAAGGACACCTCTGCGTCTGTCTCTCCAGCAGTTGGCTGTTCTATATCTCTGCTATACTCCTTCCTTCTGCTTCCCATAACTAAACCCCATAAGCATTCCCTTTCTCCCCTTTCTGCCCAAACACCCATGTCTAAACAAGGTAGTGGTTATTATGAATTGCATTTCCTTGACCCTGAATAAATGCCTCACTATATTTACTGAATACCTAGTTTGTCTGAGTTTTTATTCAGATCCACAATTTCTAGGAAATAACAAAATCTAAGAGGCAATAATAGAAAGGGAAATCTCACTGAAAATAACTACAAAAAAATACATAAACATATAAGGATCAAGCTACTAAATCACACAAAATGCTTGTGTAGATCCAATTGCAAAGTGCTTTTTAAAGATAAAGAATAACTTAAATCACTGGAGGAATATTCAGTACTCACAGCTGGGCTGTGTTGATAAAATAAAAATGACAATACAACTAAAATTTTTGTTTTTAATACTATAGCAATTAAATGATCAAAGGGATATTTCATAGATCTTGATAAAATAATAACAAAATTCACTTAGAAAAACAAAAGATCTAGAATATCAAAGGAAAAGATCATAAGAAGTAGAAGACAAAGGGGGAACTGCATTTTCAGACCTCAAAATAATATAAAGCAGCAATCATCAAAACTATCTGGTCTTGGCTAAAAAAACAAAAGGTAAATCAATGGAACAGACTAGACAAGAAAGAGTCAGAAACAATGGAATTCAATAACCTAGTATCCAAGAGTATCCAATAAACCTGAAAATATAAATTGCTTAGGAAAGAACTCCCTATTTGATAAAAAACTGCTAGGAAAACTGGAAAGAATTTTGGCAGAAATTAGGCTTAGACAATACCTTATGCCATATTCTACAATATATTCTAACTGGTATGTGACTTTAATATTAATAATCATACTATTAAAAAAATTGAATTGGAAATCACACACTTCTTAAAGCTATAGGTAAGAAATGTATTCTAATTTTTTATTTTATTTATTTTTTTGCTAGGCAATGGGGTTAAGTGACTAGCCCAGGGTCACACAGCTAATAAGTATTATGTGTCCGAGGCCAGATTTGAACTCAGGTACTTCTAAACTCAGGACCAGTGCTCTATCCACTGTACCATCTAGCTGCCCCAAGAAATGTATTCTTAACCAAAGGTAAAACAGATCACTTTGATTAAATGAAATTGTAAAGCTTCTATAAAGACAAAATTGATGCATCTGAGGTAAGAAGGGAAGCAGTTGAATGGGAAAAAAATTTGTGTCAAATGTTTCTGATAAGGATTTGCTATCCAACATAAGTTAAAAGATAGAGATATATAAAGTGTGTGTGTACATGTGTGTATATATATATGTATATACACATACAATATATATGTAGATAGATAAGTAGTCAAAGGATATTAAGTGGTTCTCAAAAGAGATAATTAATAATTCTGTGAAAAAATACTTCAAATCACTAATAAGAAGAGAAATGCAAATCAAAACAACCATGATGTTGTACCTCAAAACCCTGAAAATTGGCAAAGAGGCCAAACATGGAAATAGTGAATGGGGAGGGATTGTAGGAAGATAGTATACTAGTGCTTTGTTGGCGCAACTGTGAAGCAGAATAACTATTTTGGAAAGGAATTTGGAATTATGCAAATAGAAGAACTAAAATGTCTATACCCTTTGACTCAGAGATTCTACTACTGGGCTTACACCCAAGGGAGGCCATTGATTAAAAAAAAAAGTCCCCATTTTATCAAATACTTGTAGCAGCATTTTTTTGTGGCAGCAAAGAAATGGGGGGGGGGAGTAGATATCCATAGATTTGAGAATGGCTAAACAAATTGTAGTACATGAATATAATGAAATACTACAGAGCTATAAGAAACGATGAATACAGAGATGTATGAAAAGACCTACATGAACTAATGTAGACTGAAGTAAGCAAAGTTGAGGAAACAACATAGACAACTATTACAAAAATGTAAATGGAAAGAACCACCATACACAGAAATTAAAAGTGAATTTTGCAAAATTACAGAGAACAAACATGGCTCAAAAGAAGTGATAGGAAAAGACTCTGGTCTTTGCACCAGGTGAGAGGTCCACAAATGTTGCCCATTGCACATATTTCCAGATTTTCCCATTCTTTTCTTCTCTTTAAAATACAACACTATTTGTTATATGGGATGGCTCTCTGGGAGAGGGACGGAAGTTACTGGGGAAACTATGATGATGTGAAAAATAAAATAAAACAAACTACGATGATATTAAAAATAATTAATAAAATTTTTTTTAAAACAGTAGAGTTTGTTTCTGGTATAAGTTTGGGGAGTGCTACAATCTCCCATAGATATAATGCATCCTGCTTTCCTGTTCAATTCTAAGCCCAACTTCTCGTCCCTTTGTACTATCTGCTCCAGATACACATGCTTATGCTGTCCATCAAACCGCATGCTATCATCTATACAGTTTTATTTCTCGGGAATCCAACAAAAGTCCTACTTAATTGGCTTCCTCTGAGAATACCTGTTTATTAATTTGACCATGTTTACAATCAAGAATTAAGCAGCAATCTATGAAATGATCTCCCAATGATAATTTTGATTTTACAAGTAGCTTCAAAACTTTTCTTGTAGGTCACTATTCATCTTCTATAACGGGATTCTTAACCTGGGGTCTATTAACTTTTTAAAGAAAATATTTTTAAAACTATTCAGAATATTTGGTTTCCTTTTTAATAGTATAAGCTTTTTATCTTATTCACTTAAAAACATTATTCTGAGACTTCAGTAAAGTGCCCAAGGGGTCCACGACACATAAAAAACGTCAAGGAGGGTGAGAGAAAAAGTTACTTGGGAAATGGTGATACAAAACCAAAGCAAAACAAAACAAAAAAATTATGATGGCATAAAAACATTTTTTTTTAAATTTGAGTGGAGTTTGTTTCTGGTAGAAATTGGGGAAGAAGTCCCCCGCTCTTGAAGGGATGCAGTAAAATCTACAGCAAATAAAAATGCAGTAATGCAGTCATGACTATAAACAATAATTTTTTTTTTAAGTCGTAGCATCTTTCTCAGAAAGCTTTGAGCTTCAGCAGGAACGGGACGGAGACCAAGGCCACCTGAAAGTCGGGGAGCCCCTCCGAGCTGGGACTCCGTGCAAGACTCAGTGAGAAAGAACATGAGAAAGGGCCATGCCCTCGCACTCAACCCGCCCCCCACCCCCGCGGACCCTGCTGAGCCCTGGCAGCCTAGAGCCCTCGCACACGCGCACAGAGGCGCGCTCGAGCATCCCGGCACCGGGACTCCGGCTAGGAGTAGAGAAGAGGTTCGAACAGGGCCGGGGCATACGGGCTGGGACGGGGAAGGGAGTTACGAGCACCACCTTCTTCTGCCTCCCGGGTCCGCACGCCCACCGCGGGAGAGCGGTTCGCGGCTTCTGCCTCTGTTTGTCTCCCGTCGCTCCCGGACTCTTCGAGGGGGCCACAAGCACGGGGGACCATGGCTTTCATCCGCAGGAAGCCTCGGGAGCAGTAGCCTGCTCTGCTCCAAGGAGCGGTGAGTGACCTTCCGGGCCGAGAGTGCGGGGTTGGGCGGGGCAGGAGCTGGCGTGGGGGGCTGGGCTGGAGGCGGAGGAGGAGAAGGGCTCCCTGTCCAGTCGCCTATTTCGTGAGCCCCGCCCCTCTCACCCCCAGGTGCCGGAGCCCGCAGGCCTCGCCTAGGGTGGGGGTTGGGGGGCGGGGGAACCTCCTCTCTTTAGGTCTCGGGGGTTGGGGGGGGTACCACACCTGGAGCCACAAAGCAGACGGTTAAAATGCTCCAGGGAGGTGATAGGATCCTAGGTTGAGTCAGGAAGGACCTTAGAAGTTTACTCATCCAGTTCCCTCATTTTAGAACAGGTTCCCAGAGTGAAGTGATTTGCCCCAGGATCAGAGAGCGGTATGGAATTGGAACCTCCAAAACCTCTGACTCCAAATCTGGCTCTTTTTCAAATCAAGTTAACAAGCATTTATTAAGTGACTACTCTGTGTCAGCATCAGAGAGTAATATATGGGATTGGAACCACAAAACCTTTTACTCCAAATCTAGCTCTCATTGCAAGTTAAGTCAACAAGAGTTTGTTACTGGCTATTGTGTGCCAGGCATTGTGCCAACTGTTGGGGATAACATGAAAGACAAAAAAGCAACAACAAAAAAAAAAAAACCAAAAAAAAGCTAGTCTGTTTAAGGAGGTCACAGTCTGTTGGGGAGATAATAAGGAAACAGCTATGTACAAACAAGATTGATCCCATATAAATTGGAGATAATTTCAGAGGTAATGTACCAAAATCAAAGAGGGCTAGAACAAGCTTATGCAGAAGGTGGAACATATGCTGAGATTTGAAAGAAACTAGGGAAGGAAGAAGATGAAATTGTGAGAGAGAAAGTTCCAGGCTTGGAGTACGGTCTGGAGTAGGGAGATGAGGTGTTCTGTGTTCAAGAAACACAGGTTTCTTCAAGTAAGGGGGTCACTGTCATTGGAGAAGAATATATTGGGAGCAGTAAGGGGTAAGAAGATAGGACAGGCAAGAAGGGTCCAAGTTAGGAAGGGCTTCAAAAGCCAAACAGCATTTTTTATTTGAACCTTGTTGCAGTAAGAATCTTCGATGAAGAGAAACAGCACAAAGTCTGAGCATGATAATTTATTAGCAAGGCAAATAATTGCCAGTGAGTGAGATCCTGAGCCCCATAGTGGCCAGACAGAGCAATCTTTTATACAGTTGGTAGAAGTGTAGGCTGAACTTGCATTTGGCATAATCATGTTGATTTGCTTGCAAAAGAGAATTTCCAAAATTCATGGTAAGGGGAAAACTGGGTCAACATCCTCTGGAGAATCTAGAAAGTTCTGTGTCAACAACCACACACACCATAGTGATCTCATGCTAGGCTTATGGCCTGACATCGTGAAAACAATTTTGATACCCCAATTTAATTCCCAATTTAATCAGTGTTTACTTAGTTTATGGTGATTGATGTTAGACTGAATAGAGTTGAGATTGCTAGACATGTTGTTGGATTAAGAATTATATATGGTAGGACCTAATAACCTCTTGTATTAGTGTATTGTAGTATGTATTAGTGTGTATATGTATTAGTATTGTAGATTGTAGGATAAAATCATATGACTGTTATAGAGAATTACATTTCATTTAACCTTAGAGCTTGTTACTGCAGCATCAGCATCCCTCATCCCTATGAATCATTGTCACTATTCCCTTATAAAATTTCCTCTTACCTACCATTTCCTTAATTCCCAGGATAATGCTGACCAAAACACCAGATGTTTGATTTCTTATGAAAACCCCTGCTGAGGTGGCAGGTGGAATACTTTTTCTGAGAAAAACCTGCAGTTAATGACCAGGAATTAATGACCTAAAAGTCTGCTGACAAAGTGGTTATGATTAATATGCATGCCCCTTAACCAATCATAGAGTTTTCCCCACTTCTATTATTAACCAATTGTGAAATTGTACAGCCTTATTCTATTTTTAGTGTGCTCTCAATCAGTATAAATATTGGCCACCCTTAAGCAGTAGGAAGGTCTGGGATTTTGATTGCTTAGGAACCACTGGTTTCCCTAAATAAACCAATTATTGCTCATACTCATTTGCTATTGTTGCTGATTGGAAATTTTGTAGCCCACAGCAGCCCTTCTTATGACAACATCAATTCAGTCAGTCTAGGCTGTAGTCCCTAGAAATGGTGAAGTTAGTCTTTTCAAGAGGTCAAACTATCTTATAGACCTTAGCATTAAGAAGTCAAACTGTTACCTAAATCAAACTAATTCCTAAATCTCAGTCAATAATGAATACAGAATAAAGTGGGTTATCAATTTTCATTTTCTTATCCTAGAGGGATTAAGGCACCATTGGAGCTGATTGAATCCAGAGTGACATGGTCAGATCTTCACTTTATGAAAATCAGCTGATAACTGATGGACTAGAGGATGGACTAGAATGGAGAGAGACTTGAAGAAGTGAGATCAACCAGCAGGCTGTTGCAGTGGTTCTGGTCTGAGGTAATGAGGGTACTAGGTAGTGGCAGGGTCAGAGGAGAAAACAGGTATATATGAGAAATCTTGTGAAGGTAGAATCAACCATATTGGCAACTGATTGGATATGGGGTAGGGGATAGGGTAAGAGGTGATATATAGATTTTGAGCCTAGAATTGTGATTAGGAGGGTAATGATGCCCTCCACGGTAATAGGGAAGTTAGAAAGAGAGGAAGGTTTGAAGGGAAAATTAATGAGTTCAGAAGTTTTAGTTTAAGATGTACAATTGGCAGTTATAAAGATTGCAGGAGAAAAATGCCAGACTGAAGGTCAGGAGAAAGCTTAGGGTTGGGTAAATAGACCTGAGAATCATCTGCATCGAGATGAGGCTTGAAATCATGAGAACTCCTGATGAGATCACCAAATGAAATAGTCTAGAAGGAGAAGAGAAGAGGACTTGGGACAGAATCTTGGGGAACCTCTAGATATGATCTGAATGACGATCCAGCAAATGAGACTGGGAAGGAGTGGTCTGATAGGTAAGAGAACCAGCAGAGAGCAGTGTCCCAAAAAACTTAGAGAGAAGGTGGTGATCAACACTATTAGAGGCTACAAAGAGGTCAAGAAGTATGAGAAGTGAGAAACACCATTCCACACTATCATTCTGCCTGTCCTGCTCTGAGAAAGGAGAGATTTGTTGGTGAGCCTGAGGTTAGTATTTGGGAGGACTTCAGAGATATAATCCTTTGAACTAGACCTTAAAACACAGTTAGTATCTTGAGGAATAAGGATAGGTATTTTTAGGGTATGTTGGGGAGCAAAGACTTGGAGGTGAGAAACCTCATATTGTGCTCAGGGTAAGGTGGGGATACAAACAGAAAAGCAAGGCAATCCCTGCTCTCCAGGACTTCACCTAACTGGGAGAGACAATGCATCCAAAAAGGTTCAGCTGCAGGGTTAGTTTTCAGTGCGCAATGGTTTAAAGGGTGCTGCTGCTGAAAAGGACCGGAGAAGTCATGTAATCCCAGCTCTTTCATTTTACAGATGAAGAAACTGAGGCCCGGTGATTTGCCCAGATTTCACACAGGGGTTTGGATCATCTTTGGGAGGTAGTAGGAAGTCATTGAAGAGTTTTGAGCAGCCTTGTGAAGTGATCAGAACTGTGGCCACATTGAGAAAGATGCATTGGAGAAATGAGAAAACAGGCAGAAAGATCTGTTAGGAAATTATTGCAGTAGTCTGGGAAGAGGAGATGAGGGCTAAAAGTAGGGTGAAATTGGAGGGAAGAGATAACCTAAAAGTATAATTAAAAAAACTGGAAATTAAAGAAGAAAAAGGAATCAAAGATGAAGGGATTTTTTCCTTAGGTGACTTTTTTATAAATAGAGGGATTTTGTGAAGTGGTACATATTTTAGGTGAAGATAATGATTTCAGTAGGTTATAGGCAGTTGGAAATGCAGTTTGGGAAGCCAGGAGGGTAGTTTGGGTTGGAGGTCTGGATTTGGACAGCATTTGCATAGAAAATAGTTCAAGCTGTAGTTAGATAGTTCAAGCTTCCCTAAGGAAGACAGTAGAAAAATAAAGAAGAAGAATAAGAATTGGTATTTGTATAGAATTTTAAAGTTTTCAGTGTTCTTTACATATATTATTGCATTTGAGAAGAGAAAGGGGTTAAAGGCAAGAGACTTTGTGGAGCTTTGTGGAACAACCCTACATCAAGGAGTCAGGAAGAGGAGCTAAAAAAAAAAAAAAGGAGAAATCAGAGAAGTAGGAAAATAACCAGAAGTGTGCAATGTCCTGACAGACAAATGAGGCATCCAAGTCAAGGGCAGGTTTCCCTCCTTCCTCAGTATTGCAGAGGCCCAAGCATAGAACCAGTAGAGAGGGGTTTTTTAAAAAAAATTTTTTAGAGAGGGGTTTTTAACTTTGTGTATGTGTCATGGACACCCCCCCACTCCCCCCCCCCAGGCAGTCTGGTAAAGTACCTTCTCGGGTGTTTCAAAACATATGAATGTGTAAAATAAAATGCAAGGAAGCCAAATGTATTAAAATATAATTATCAAAATATTAAATTGCTCCAGGTTAAGAACCCCTGAAACAGAGGTAGAGAGACCAAAGAGGGAAGAAAGGAAAGGGGAGCATTGCTGAATTGAGGACCCAGGAAGAGAGGTTGGCCCTGGAAAGGAAGAGAACTGTTTACTCTGAGACCAAAAGGAAGATGAGCAGTAGTGAAGTACAGAAAGGGCATTGGACCTGGGTTTGAATCCTAAGACTTAGTTATCTGTTACCTTGGATAAGTTACTTAGCCTCTTGGTCTTAATTTTCTCATGTGTAGAATGAGTATAATAGAGTTGTAGCTAACAGGGTTATTGGGAGAAAAGCATTTTATATATTTTAAATCCCCTTAAGAATAAGAGTAAGAGTTAGCAATATTGAAAACTTTTGAGGGATGGAGGAGGGGAGTTGAGGGACCTTATGCCAAATGACCTCAGGAAAACAAACATCTCAGTAAAATAGAAGTGGTCACATCAATTGAGAGTGAGGTTGGGAGTTGGAAATTTTTAGGGGAGTGGAAAAGATTTAGAAGAGTAACTATAGGAAATCTTATTAGGAGTTGATAAAAAATAAGTAGAAGAATTACTGAGGATCAGTAAAACCCCTGGGTGAGGTTAAGTAATATTAGATTATATTTACTATCCTGTACCCTAGTTTCTCATTCTTCCAAGATAAAATGTAAGGCTAAGGATCTCTTTTCTTTCTGTGTTTAGGAAGTTTGCAGGAAGGCAGAAAAGTTCCTTACAGAAGAGAGTAGAATTACTCTCTACCTCAAATATGTGCACTCTACCTCAAATATTTTGTGGGAGCCTGGGACCACAAATGTCTGGCAATCCCTTTCTCCAGCAGTATCAGCTTAGGCCAAAATTAAATTGAACAACTCAGCAAAATATTTATGTGTAAGTCAATGATCTTCCTTCTCCTGTGGAAAAAAATAACTTCTTGTCCAAATAGGGATATTTCGTGTGTGTGTGTGTGTGTGTGTGTGTGTGTGTGTGTGTGTGTGTGTTTCTGTGGTGAGAGAAACCTATGCAGATTTTACTTATTAATTTTAGGGATCAGTGTCATCAGTCTTGGGAAGGGTAACAGGAAACTTGAGAGAGATCATTTTACAAGATAATACTCTTCTTGTGAGTACCAGATTAGTCTCTTGGCTCCTGCTGGCTAATCACATGCCTTTCTTTGATCAAGAGAGGCCAACAAAGCTACATTATGTGTGTGAAAGAAAAGAATAATTATACAGTTAGACCTTCACTGGGGCTAAGTAGGGGGTGTGGCACCTCATGATCTGGAAAATCTGCATACTTTCCTATCAAGTTTTTTATATGGATCACTGAATAAAGTTATCTTTATCATCACATCTGTTATAGTTTTATGTGCTCATGTGGCCATTTACCAAAGTTAGACCCTTTTCTCATCTTTCCTGGACTATTTCAGTAGCATCCTAATTGGTCTCTCTTCCCATGATCTCTTCCTGTTCCAGTCCATCATCCACCTGGCTGCCAAATTGATATTCCTAAAGCACAAGGAACTCACCTGCTAAGAAAGCTTTATTGGCTCCCTGTTGCTACCAGGAAAATGGAAACTCGCTTTGGCATTTAAAACCTTTTGCCATCTGGCTCCAGCCTCTTTCCAGACTGATTTCACATTACTCCCTTTTATGCACACTGCTTTCCATTCAGACGGGTCTACTTGCTGCTTTCCAAATATTCCCTGTGCATCTTGTTTTTATCTCTTATTTCCATGCCTTTGCACAGGCCTCCCATGCTTGGAGTGTGCTCCTTTACTTCCCCTCCTATATTCCTAGCACCATCCAGATTTAGCTCACGTACTCCTTTGCTTCCGGTAGTTAGATCTTCCCTCCTGCCCCCAATTAGTTTATATTTGCTTAGTGTGTATTTGGTATTTACTTACCTATGTATATGTTTCTCCTGAGTAGGATTTAAGCTCCTTGAGGGCAGGGACTGTGTTTTTGTTTTTATACCCTGGCACCTAGCACAATGTCTAGCCCACGGGTGGGGGACTTGTGGAATTGAGGCCACATGTGGCCCTCTAAGCCCTCGAGTGAGGCCCTTTGATGAATCCAAACTTCACAGAACAAATCCCCTTAATAAAAGGATTTTTTTGAGTGCAGTTATCTTTATGCCATTCTCCCAGCATATCATCACAGTGGCCACACGATTTGTTATACTTACCCTATCTGTGAAGGTGAATCAAGCTACAAATATTTAACTAGTCGTCCTCATATTTTTGTGCAGTTCTGGTGCAGTGGTTGAATTCCAGAATTGCTTCTGAGAAAAACTGATTTTCATTTATTAATTTTATTTTATAATTGTTTCTATTCTGTATCACTGTTCTGTATAACAGTCTGTCTTTAAATTCACTTCCAAAATTCAAAGGTTCAAATGTAATGTCTTCTTCTCTAAGTTAAATCTAAAAGCTCACTTACCTTATTAAAGCATTGTAATTAAAAGAAGCCTGCTTTCTTAAGTTTAAAAGTTGTTTCCCTTAAATAATTTTTAATTAAATGAAACCTTTTATCTCTACAGCACTGGCTGTCCTTGGACAATTAGTGGAAATATGTTATCTCTTACAATCAGTAAGTTTAGCTTTCCAGTGAATCAATCCATATCAAAGAAGTCCAAGCAGATGGATTCTATCAAGCAACCTTTCCTGAATAGCAGAATGGAAGGAGGGGTTGTTGCTAGCCCCAAATGTCCAGTCAGTCATGTTGTTTTTGCTGCTATGATGCTGCAGGTTTTGTAACCAGTCATGTTCTTTTTGCTGCATATCATGCTGCTTTCTGGGTTTTTTTGGAGGCCCCTTCCCCTTCAGTTGAGGTCTTAGCTTATCTGAGGAGGCTAGACACTATTTATTGGCAAATTCGTGATATGTCAATAAAGTGATCATGCTTGGAACTTTGTGTTTAATTTCAGCCATTACACTTCATAAAGCTCTCATGCCTTATGC